ACTGCATATGACAATGGAGCAGTGCATAAAATTCTGGCAGTGGACACTGCCGCCGGATAAACGAAAGCATTGCCGTAGTATCCAGTAGGTATTTTCAGGCCTGGCTTGCCACGCAAATTGGTAATGACTGACAGACAAACATTCTCGTCTGGATTAGATGGATTCAGTGCATTCGTATGACATTTCCATAAGCACGCTATTATGAGATCAAATCTTGAGCACCTACGAGAACTTCCCGACAAGGACAGACGATTATAAAATGCTTGTATAGCCTTAGGGGTAAAGAAAATGGCAGTCCCAAATAGCTTGTCCGAATCCATAAAGTCTCTGGATTGTCGTATTTTCTCAAATTCATGGTGTACGCATGTAATTCTTGGGGGAGATCTTGCATTCAAATATTGTTCTCTTTGCCATACAGGTGAAATAGAAGGTGCAGATGCACCTTTTATTAATTCAGAAATAGAATTTAGAAATTGCATCATTCCATAAGCATCCGCCATAGTGTGGTTCAATCGGATTCCCAAAGCAAATCTGCCACAGATGAATCTGGTAACCTGCATTTAGGATTAATTTAAATAATTCATTTCAGTACTTGGCTGATGAGTTGATATACAGCACACACTCTCGGTTCATATCATACTATCATCTATTTTATGAAAATTATATGCGCTAGGTTTTTTATGAAAATAATGAATTCATGGTGCACGTGAAGAAGAATACATTTACATACCTGTTGGATACCACGTCCTTATTCACACAACCAAACGTACAAGGATTGATACCTTGTACTTGAAATTTGTAGTGTTAATTATTTCAATATTTGGGGTTGTGATTTGTCCTTAATAACAAAAATAATTTAAGGATAGTACTAGTATACTTGGAATGTAATTAATACACCACATGTCAAGTTTAATTTTATAGCATGATTTTGTAGAAAATAAATTCCACTTGAGCTCCCAGTATATTATCTAAATTCTAGACAAGATTGTGTCTATCCACCTCTGAATTTAATGGTTCTATAATTCACCAATAGGTGATATCACTTAGATTGATCAAATAAATTGATGAATTGAGAATTTGAGAATGAGCAAAGTACAA